GATTCTTCCTAACCATGAGCATGGTGTGTTTCTCTGTTTGTGTCCTCTTATTTCGTTGAGCAGTGGTTTATAGTTCTCCTTGAAGAGGTCCTTTACATCCTTTTTTAGTTGTATTCCTAGGTATTTTATTCTCTTTGTAGAATTACAAATGGCAGTTCGTTCTTGATTTGGCTCTCTTTAAGTCTGTTATTGGTACATAGGAATGCTTGTGATTTTTCACATGATTTTGTATCCTGAGACTTTGCTGAAGTTGCTTATCAGTTTCAGGAGATTTTGGCCTGAGACAATGGGGTCTTCTAAACATACAATCATGTCACCTGCAAATAGAGACAATTTGACCCTTCCTTCTTTCCTAATTGAATACCCTTTATTTCTTTTTCTTGCCTGATTGCTCTGGCTAGAACTTCCAATACTATATTGAATAGGGTTGGTGAGAGGGGACATCCTTGTCTAGTGCCAGATTTCAAAGGAAATGCTTCCATTTTTTTGCCCATTCAGTATGATACTGGCTGTGGGTTTATTGTAAATGCTTTTATTATTTTGAGACACGTTCCATCAATACCTATTTTATTGAGAGTGTTTAGCATAAAGCGCTGTTGAATTTTGTTGAAGGCCTTCTCTGTATCTAGTGAGATAATCATGTGGTTTTTGTCTTTGGTTCTGTTTATGTGGTGAATTACGTTTATAGACTTGCGTATGTTGAACCAGCCTTGCATCCCCAGATGAAGCCTACTTGATCGTGATGGATAAGCTTTTTGATGTGCTGTTGCAATCGGTTTGCCCGTATTTTATTGAAGATTTTTGCATCTATGTTCATCATGGATATTGGCCTGAAGTTTTCTTTTTCAGTTGTGTGTGTGCTGGGTTTTGGTAACAGGATGATGTTGGCCTCATAAAATGATTGGTGCAGGATTCCCTAATAGATTTTATTTATCCTATCATCAATTGATAGGCATTTGGATTGTTTCCACTTTTTTCTTTTCTTTTTAGTTTACACATAATAATTGTACATATTTATGGAATGCAGACTGTTATTTCCATATGTGTAATGATTAAAGCATGGTAATTAGCATCCATCACCTCAAACATTTATCATTTATTTGTGTTGTGAGCATTAAAAATCCTCTCTTCTAGCTTTTTGAAAATATACAATAAATTATGGTTAACCACATTCACCCCACAGTGCTGCAGAAGACCTGAACTCATTCGTTCCATCAAATTATAATTTCGTAATCGTTAACCAAGCTCTCTCCATTCTCCCTCCTTGCTGTCTTTCCCATTCTCTAATAGCCACAATTGCACTCTACTTTTTCTTAGCTCCCACGAGTGAGGACATGTGGTATTTATCTTTCTGTGCTTGGCTTATTTTGCTTAACATCATGTCTTCCAGCCTCATCCACGTTGCTGCAAATGACAGGATTTCATTCTTTGTTTGTGGCTGAATAGTATTCCAGTGGGTATAATGCCACATTTTAAAAAATCCATTTGTCTGTAGATGAACATTTGAGTTGATTCCATATCTTAGCTATTGTGAGTAGTGCTGCAGTAAACACTCAAGTGCAGGTATCCCTTTGATATACTGAGTTCCTTTCCTTTTGGTAAACCCAGTAGTGAGATTGCTGGATCATATGGTAGTTCTGTTTTTATTGAAATCTCTGTACTGTTTTCTGTAATGACTGTATTAATATATATTCTCACCAACAGTGTATAGGAGTTCTCTTTTATCTGCATCCTCTCTAGTATTGTTATTTTTTGTCTTTTAGATAATAGCCATTCTAATTGGGATGAGATGATATCTCATTGTGGTTTTGATTTACATTTCCATAATCTTGATTTTTCATATGTTTGTTGACTATTTGTATGTCTTCTTGAGAGATTGTTTGGAGGTTTGAGCAGGGGAGTGCAGCTACTTGTATAACCCAGACCAATAATTCGTCCTCCTGTATCAGGGTTGGTCATCATCTTTGACTGAGCACGTAGCTTTGGGAGGGACACACATGGAACAGAGAAGGAGCAAAGGGACACCTGCCTAGCCAGCCAGATCAGCTAAATCAACCCTGGTGATCAATGGGGTGGCAGATGTTGCAGCTGCATCACCCTCACATATGTCTTCTTTTCAGAAATGTCTGCTCAGTTCCTTTGTCCTCTTTTTATCAGATTATTTTGCTTATTTGCTGTTGAGTTATTTGAGTTCTTTGTATATTCTGGTTATTAGTCCTTTGTTGTATGACTAGTTTAAACATGTCTTCTCCCATTCTACAGGTTGTCTCTTCACTTTGTTGATTGTTTCCTTTGTTGTATATAATCGTTTTCATTTGATATCATCCATTTGTCTATTTTTGTTTTGTTGCCTGTGGTTTTGAAGTCTTAGAAAATATTTGCCAAGATCAATGCCCTGAACCATTCCCCCTGTGTTTTCTTCTAATAGTTTTATAGTTTCAGGTCTTATGTTTGAGTCTTTAATCTGTTTTGAGTTGATTTTTGTATATGGAGATATAGTAGTCTAGTTTCATTGTTCTGCATATGGATATCAAGTTCTCCCAGCACCATTTATTGAAAAGGGTGTCCTTTTTCCCAGTGTATATCCTTGGTGCTTTTGTTAACTGTAAATGTATGAATTTTATTATGAATAGTGCTGCTATACACATTCAAATACTTGTTTCTGTGTAAACATACATTTTCATTCCTTTTGGGTATAAATCTAGGAGTAGAATTGCTGGGTAATATTATAACTCTGTTTAATTTTTGAGGAAATGCCAGACTGTTTTCCAAAGTGGCTGACTCATTTTGCATTTCCATTAGCAGTATATTACAGTTCCAATTTGTCCACATCCTCACCAACACATTTTATCTGTATTTTAAATTATAGTCATCCTAGTAGGTATGTTGTGGTATGTCATTATACATTTATCTAGTGGCTAATAATGTTGATCAATTCAGTTTTTAGGTCATATGCTTTAATGAACAATTACAGTGATGAGACATGGCATTCCATTTTAATATTTTAATTTTTAATGATTTTGAATAAAGTAGTAAAGAGCATATATGGTGTTAAATATCATACTTAGCAAATGCACTTCATTTACAGGTTTTGGTTTTTATTTTTCTTTTTTGGAGATGAAGTCTCACTCTTGTCACTTAGGCTGGAGTGCAATGATATGATCTCAGCTCACTGCAACCTCCACCTCCTGGGTTCAAGTGATTCTCCTTTCTCAGCCTCCCAAGTAGCTGGGATTACAGGTGCCTGCCACCATGCCTGGCTAATTTTTGTATTTTTAGTAGAGACGGGGGTGGGGGTGTTTCACCATGTTGGCCAGCCTGGTCTCGAACTTCTGACCTCAGGTGATCTGCCCACCTCGGCCTCCCAAAGTGCTGGGATTACAGGCATGAGCCACTGTGCCCATCCACAGCTCATCTTAAAAAATTCTAACTTGACTACATAAAAGTGAAATCGAAGTGAAAACCTCAGAGATAGTTTCATAGGACAAATTTTCTATAGGATATTAAAATATACTTAGCTATTATCAAGTATAGGGCAAAGAGACAATCTTTGCATCTCCTACTTGATATTTGTGTTCAAACAATTTGGATTCTATTGGGGAATATCTAAACTCTTCCAATTCTTTTAACATGAATAAAATAGCATCCACATCTGGAACCCAGACCACATGTAATGGCTCCACAGGGTTTGGTCAGACTTTGTTTTGAAACAAGGAGGCAGAAAACATAATGTGTTCCTAGCAAAAGAATCCACAGTCACAATAAAATTGAAAGAATGAGGTTACATAGAAGAAAAAGATATCCCTGAAGAAACTGGAGAAACAAATGAAAACTTATGACACAGGAATAAAGTCATCATAAAATAAATGCAAATGAAAGTTTTTAAAAAGTTAAAAGAATTCACAGAGTGATTTTACTTTGAAGTGGTATCCAGTACCATTAAACAAAATTAGAAATCACAGTTTAAGCAGAGGCTTAAATAAAACACGTTTTACTTAATCCAGACTTTTTTTTTTTGTGATGAAAATCCCCAATCTGTGCATTAGTAAGAAAAAAAACAGGATATAATGTTTGTATAGCCCATTTTCAATTGTGGTCCAAATGTTGTATTTAAGATCAATAAAATATAAACCAATCCTACAAATAAAATGTAAAAAGGACAAATCTATGTGTCATTTCTGGTATTTTCCCTGCCAGCCAGCCCTGGAATCATAGAATGGGGAAAAAAAACCCAACTCTGCTCTTGTCCACCTAGTTTAGGAAGCATAGTGTATGGGAGTATGTAAAAGTAATGTGATCCTGAATGAAAAACAGGAGGATGGCATCAATAAGCCACATTTGTCAGTTCCTTATCTGAGTGTTGTGCCAGTAAATTTGGGGGAAAAGTACTGAGAAATGGGACGACACAATCACACATAAAAAAACTAAGGGCTGAAAGTGCAATCTATTTTTTTAAATGAAAAAATCTAAGGCTTTTAACCTGGAAAAGAAGTGGTCTGTTACTGAATGATTATCTGTCTCTAGGTCTTTACATAAAGATTTGTTCTCTTCCTCTTCAAGGGATTAATCATTATAAAATGAGCTAAAGGTTTTTAGATGTTTTGGTTAGGCATAAATAAAAATACATTAACAAATAGATGCTTCATCCGCATGAAGTGTCTTCAAAATAAATTAGTAAGTTGGATTTGTTTATATTGATTCAGATAACATTTATCTGGAAACAAGTGGTAAGATAATAACCTACTAAGAAGCTTTCTGGCTCCAGGATTCCGTGAAACCTTTTGTAAAACATTAAAGACAATTTGAAAATTTTACTTAATGATATTGTCTAACCTAAGTGATCTTATGCTTTTTTAAGTTTAAATAAATATGACAACAGCTAAAATTTTTTAGATTTCATAAATTTTTTTATGTTGTTAGTTTGTATACATGGTTATTGGAACTATATATTCCATACTAAATGATAATTACAAAATGATCTTTATATTAAATATTTTTAGGGTTTGAGTGTACTTTCCAGACATAAAAAATTGAAGGAACTTTCTGTATCTGCATGTTATAGAATCACTGATGATGGAATTCAGGTAAGATAATTAAGATCTTCTGTTAAAGAATTAAGATTGAATTTTTTTTAAAAAATTATTAATTCACTTTATTTCTTATTTCTATCGTTTTTTGGGGAACAGGTGCTCTTTAGTTACATGAGTACGTTCTTTAGCAGCGATTTGTGAGATTTTGGTGCACCCATCATCTGAGGATTATACACTGTACCTAATTTGTAGTCTTTTATTCCTCACCCACTTCCTACCTTTTCCCCCAAGTCCCCAAATCCACTGTATAATTCATATGCCTTTGTATTCTCATAGCTTAGTCCCACTTATGAGTCAGAACATACAATGTTTGGTTTTTCCATTCCTGAATTACTTCACTTAGAATAATGATCTCTAATTCCATTCAGGTTACTGTGAATGCCATTATTTCATTCCTTTTTATGGCTAAATGTATTCCACGGTGTATTTATACCACAATTTCTTTATCCACTCATTGATTGATGGACATTTGGGTTGGTTCCCCAATTCTGCCTTTGCGAATTGTACTGCTATAAGCATGCCTGTACAAGCATCTTTTTTGTACAATGACTTCTTTTCCCCTGGGTAGATACTCAGTATTGGGATTGCTGGATCAAATGACTGTTCTACTTTTAGCTCTTTAAGGAATCTCTACACTGTTTTCCATAGTGGCTGCACTAGTTTACATTCCCACCAAGAAGTGCTCCCTTTTCACTGTATCCCTGCCAACATCTATTATTTTTTGATTTTTTGATTATGACCAGTCTTGCAGAAGTGAGGTGGTATCACATTGTGGTTTTGACTTGCATTTCCCTGATCATTAGTGATGTTGAGCATTTTTTTCATTTGTATATCATCTTGTGAGAATTGTCTATTCATGTCCTTAGCCCAATTTTTGATGGGATTTTTTTTCTTGCTAATTTGAGTTTCTTATAGATTCTGGATATTAGTCCTTTGTCAGATGTATAGATTGTCAATATTTTCTCCCACTCTGTGCATTGTCTACTCTGCTGATTGTCTCTTTTGCCATGCAGAAACTTTTTAGTTTAATTAAGTATAAATTGAATAAATTTTGTGGGTCACAGTAGAAATAAAGAAATGGATTGGAAATGTAACAAAACATATGTCATCTTAGTTGAACTAAGTTCTTCTCCGGGCTCTTAGTTAGGTCTCCACAGCCAAAGTGATTGAGATTTCTTTTCCCTTTTTTGCCTGTCTACTCTCTTCCTTCCTCATGTCCGATTCAAAATAAACAAGGACATTTTACATGGAGAGTGATGAACTGCAGTGTGGTAAAATTCTTCTCATATAAACAAAGTATTCTGTAGATAGAAATGTCATATAATCTAATCATGAAAGTTGGGGGAGTTTGAAAAATTATGCCAGATACTCAGCAACTTAAGCTACTCTGAAATACTTGCTAGCATCCATTATAGGAATGGAAAGCATAAGGTAAGTAATTGGCTAGGATAAATGATTGTGTGCTCAATTGATTCTTCAAGAGCTCATGAGAAAAGTGAAATTCCTAAACATAATCTTGAGTGATGTGCAGGAAGTTATAAAGTACATATTGTGAGCAAGGCACAGTGTAATTTTTTTCATTACTTTAAGCATATCAATATGCTGTTAGAAAAAGCCCCCAAAGTCATGTGTCATACATGTATTGAACAAGAAGGGAAGCAGTAAACTAGGAATGCAAGCACTGAAACACACTGGAAGTTCCAGATAAATGTGTGTTTAGAGTTTAAAACCCTAACCACCCAGAAAAACCTGAAGCTAAAGTAGGAACAGAGAGAGAGAGAGAGAGAGAGAGAGAGAGAGAAAAGAAGGAGGAGGAGGAGGAGGAGGAGAGGGGAAAAGGAGAAGGGGGAAAGGGAAGGGAAGGAGAGGGAAGGGAGGGGAGGGAGGAAGGAGGGAGGAGGAAAGCTGAGAGGGAGGGAGGAAAGAGAAAGAAAAATTTTGTTTTTGAGATAAAAGGGTTTGTCCCACGAGTAGGAAAATAATGCAGTAATAGCTAAGAAGTCCACAAAGCATGGCAAACCTGAAGTTATCTCTGTCAATTTGAAGTAGACTTTCCAAGAAGTTTTAACGTGAATAATAGGAGAGTGTTAAAATACTGTCCCAACTAGTGGGCTTTAGAGGATTCCAGCTCAAAAGATGCTCTAGACCTCTAGCATTGAATTCTAGACTTCCGGAGCTGAAAGAATCTTAGAAACATCTAAACCAACTCCCATATGTTAAGGTAGTAAGAATAAAAAATTATCTCAAAGGCCAAGAGAGCTTAAATGACTGGCCCAAAGTCTTATACCTTCTCAGCAAACTAATTCAGTAACAGTTTTATGGAAGTGAAAGGTAGAAACGGAGAACTGCTCTTCTATATGGTTGATTGACAGGTTAGTGAGAAAAAATGTTTTCAAATTATTTTTGCTGTTTCTCCTTGTGTCTGAACAATGTAATTATCCTTAAGGGAATCTGCTTTAAGAAGCATTAGTGTCACATAATGTCAATTTCCCCCAATTTTAGACCAGGGGTACTAATGTTCTAAGAAGTCCTTAAGAAATCTGTCTGGTAGTATATTCAATAGTATAGAGTAAAATAAACAAACGTAAAACAAATATCCCAGAGAGGCCTGGAAAATTCCGTGTTGGAAATATTGTAACTCTTTAATAACAAAAATAGTTGCAAATCATTTAGATGTATGTAACCTACTGAGAGAAAAAGCCAAAAGATTGCTCTAAAGTTAAACCGTGATTGACTTGCTGCAATTAACTTAAGGGTTAAACATAAATTTACACAAAGCTTCATCGATAAATACAATATAGTCAGGCTTTCAAAAGATCTTTGACAAGGTGATAGACCAGAAAAAACAGTTTAAAATATTAACATTTCTAATACTGGGTTATAGTTCTCATATGGTGATCAATTGTATCTGACCAATTTAGAAGTATTGAAACCCACCATCGTGATGACATAGCTTCTTAATATGCATCCTTGATTAATTTTGGGTGCCCCTCTCATCTTTGGGGTGAAGGAGTATTGACCAAAATTTGATGTTAAGTATCAGGAGACCAGTGTTTTTTATCATTTATTTTTGATGCTGTGGGGTCCAGACATTTTTCTTTTCACTCTTTGGAGCCTAAAAATTGTACTATATTTAGGTGCTCTGAGACTGTAGATGAAAGCATTTACCCATTTGCTAACTATATGACTATACAGTTGGGTTTTGGCATATCTTTAAAACAATTTAATCTTTTAAAAACTGACATGTATTTTTTTCAGTAGTCTAAAAGATTAGTTGTTCTTCTCTAGTCCATGAAAAAGAAATTTTCTTTTTTTCCCTTTATTTTTTCTAAAAAGACAAACAAACCGGGATACCTGTGCAGAACATGCAGCTTTGTTACATAGGTATACATGTGCCATGGTGGATTGCTGGATCTATTGACCCATCCTCTGAGTTTCCTCCCCTTACCCCAACCCTGAAATTTTTCTTTTTCATCATTCCTCATCCTTCTTTTTCTCCTCCCTGCTTTTGATAGGCATATGTCCGTGTGTGTCTGTGTTGTGGCTCCAGTTTTACCTCTTCCAAGGTTCATACTTCTGGGCATGTGATAATATTTCTTCAGCCCAATTATTAAGTCCCAAAAGGGAACAGACAAAGCAGGGGGAGGAGAAAGTGACATATAAGTTAATTTCACAATTCCTGATCTGGATTTAAAAAGAGAGCGAAAGAGAGTAAAATAAGGTTAGTAAATTGAGATGTTTAGATTATCTACACTTTATCAAGAATGCTCTCTTGTTACTTAGAAAAGGTAACTATAGGAGAGATTCTGTTTTTAGCACAAGACATTGAAAACTTATACACTACATAATTCACTTAATGAGAAAAATTAATACAGTTTTCACCCTGGTTAGGTTTTGCAAGAGTTGTGAACATAATAAGAATAAAAAATTACCTCATTTTAGTGTTTAGTGGAAACCACAGCACATGCAGAGTCAGTGTCTGGAGCCTCAGATGTGTTGACTTTTAGGATCTGGCTTTAATTACTTTCTCCAACTTTAGTTCTTTTCTGAGAACAACAGACATTCAAATGATTATGTTACACTAAAATTATTTGGTGCTCTTGAAAGTCATTTTGGAGAAGATGTTTGATGCAGCTGTAACTGAGCATTTCTTAAGAAATCTTTTTCCTGAACATTTTATGAAGTCAGTTAAATAACAGCCAAGTATGGCAAAGGACTTGGCTTAAATGCGGTGTTATGCTACAGACATACTAAAACTTCCATCTTAGTAAGTTTTTTTTGATAGAACCAATGGAATAAAACCAATTATTTATTCTGATTGCTTTTCATACCGTTAATCTAGTTAGCATTTCTCATTCCCCTTTCCTAGAATGAAGCGTAATGTAAATACTATCCATACATATGAATGTATATTTTTATGCAGATTATCTTTAAATGAAAATCTTGCAGCTGGACAAAAATTTTTAATTATTTCATTGTTAGTAGGTTGAGGTAGTTAAGAAATGGTATTAGCAGGAAAAAATCATGTTTCATTAGGATGCACCACAAGGACTGGCAGGTGTGTATGCAGTGAAAGTGTGCATATATGTGTGTTTACATGCAAATGTATGTAAATGTACATCTATGTCTAGTATATGTGGGTAGATTAAATATATGTATACACCTTGGTATATATTAGATCATATACATATTTCAGTGTGTATATATATTTATTACACCCAAATTGTGTATAGAGAGATGCCATATGATTATATATTTCTAGGCTAAAACCAATACATCATGGTCAACATTCAAAGCAAGTAATAAAAATTGGTTTGTTGGCTGGGTGTGGTGGCTCACATCTGTAATCTCAGCATATTGTGAGGCCAAGGCGGGTGGATTACCTGAGGCCAGGAGTTTGAAACCAGTCTGACCAACATGGTAAAAACCCATCTCTACTAAAATTACAAAAAAAATTAGCCACGCATGGTGCTGTATGCCTGTAGTCCCAGCTA